TCCCCGTGCTGCACAGCGGCTTGCACGAGTTTGCCTTCAGCTTCCACCTGCCGCAGATGTGAGTCACGCCGTGTCACCTCATGTCACCCCAAATCACGTCGGGCCACATCACGTGATATCACGTCACTCCACGCCGGATGTCACGTCACATCACGCGACGCACCGTCACACCACATCTGTCACTTCTGTCACCTCAATAAAATTCCATCTGGGATACCGTACCCGAGTGCGACGGTACCGATACTGAACCGATACCGTGGCGACACTGCACTTTGAGCACAAGCGAATGACATTTTCAAGTGAGTGTGACCACTGTTTGATTTCGGAAAGACGAGCAGTTTTTCAAGGCTGGCAAGCCGGCGGCCTACCCCCGTTGCAGACGCTGATGCAAACGAACTGGCGGCAGCCGGCGTGATGACTACATCGTTGCATGATTGCGTGACATCATCGAATGGGGGCGGGGGGAGTGAGCAGCAACGTGCAAGGTTGGAGACACAAAGATAAGAGATGCAACAATTACGTCTGTCACTTTCAAACCCGGCGGCGGCTCGCCAAAAGAGGGCGCTAGGCTAACCTGGGTCACCTTTAAAATAGCGGAAATTAACTCATGAAAGCGAGAGGCGTCAAAGTCAATCAATAGTCGACTGTTTTCATTCTTGAGTGATTGTTTTCAAGCCGTTGCGCAACTGAAAATGTGAATCCATTTTCAAAAAGATTAACGGGAAGGAAGCAAGCAGTCCGGCGGCCCGTTTTGACTTGCTTGATTTTCAAATTGACATTTGACACTTAACTGTGTGTTTGTGTGCGGGTGTGCGTGTTCAGGGCGTTGGCGACGTCGTTCGAGGGCAAACACGGCAGCGTGAGGTACTGGGTGAAGGCGGAGCTCCAGCGACCTTGGATGCTTCCCGTCAAGGTTAAGAAGGAGTTCATCGTCTTCGAGCACATCGACATTAACACGCCCCTGCTGCTGGTAGGCCACGCCCCCCCTCAACTTTGCCTTTCCACTGCCGCAGTGAGGGATAGGGTTTCAATTTCGAGTCATGTCTTGGGAGCTTTCAACAAATTGGGGCTTGAAGTCAAGACATCATTGTGATTTTAAATATGGATTAGGGGTTCGAATTAGGGTTCCAAGACAGAGTTAGGGTTTTAAGGCAGAATTTGTGTTTTTTTGTTTTTTTTTATGTTGGGGTCTCCATCTTGGGTGGGGTTTTAAAGTCAGTTAGGTGAGATTATATTTGATATTAGGGTTTTGAGTTTTGGTTTCAAACTGGGGTGAGGGTTTCAAGTCAGTGTTGGGGTTTCATGCCATGATTAGGGTTTCATGTTGAGGTTTCCATCTTGGGATAGGTTTTTAAACGGGGTTGTCTTTCATATTAGGGGTTCAAACAAGGATTGGGGTTTTGAATTTTGATTTCAGGCAAGGGTTAAGATTTCAAGTTGCGCTTTCATGCCACCATTATGATTTCAAATTAGGGTTCCAAACTACTGTTCCGGCTTCAAGACAAGGCTAGGCTTTTGTGTTTGTGTCGGGGTTTCCAGCGGAGGTTCTGGTTTTGAACAAGGGTTTGGATTTCAAGAGTTGGTTTCAAGTCAGGATTGGGGTTTGAAATTAGGGTTTCAAGCCATCATTATGGTTTTGACGTAGGCTTTTAAGACTGTTGGGGTTTCAAGCTATTTCAAACCTGGGGTAGGGTTTCAAGTTTGTGTTGGTTGTGTTTTCAGGCTCCTCAGGCGGGCAGCAAGGAGAAGACTTTGTGCTGCTGGTTCTGCGCGTCCGGTCCCATCTCGCTTAGCGTCAAAGTGGCTCGCAAAGGCTACACGCCAGGTAGCGCTGGATTGCCAGCCGTCCTCACCTTGCGTCCTCCCCCTCCTCACCTCCACGTCACCTCATGTCTTCCCCATCCTCTTCACCTCATATCCTCTGCATCCTCTCAGCAGGTCTCCCCTCACATCCTTCCCATCCTCGCGTCCTTCTCACTTGACGTCCTTCCCGTCCTCTAAGCCTTCCTCACCTCACGTCCTCCCCGTCCGCTTGTCCTCTCTTCATCCCCCGCCTGGTCTCCCGGCAGACTTGACCCCTCCTGCCTCTCCCTCAGGCGACTCCATCCAGATTTTCGCCGAGGTGGAGAACTGCTCCACCCGTGTGGTGGTGCCCAAGGCGGCGCTGTACCAGACGCAGACCTTCTTTGCCAAGGGCAAAGGCAAAGAGATCCAGCAGCTGGTGTCCAACCTGCGAGGGGAAGCCTTGGCTCAGGGCAAGAGTCAAAGCTGGGAGGGCAGGATGCTCAAGATCCCGCCCGTGTCGCCGTCCATCCTCGACTGCCCCATTATACGCGTGGAGTACGCCCTTGTGGTGAGCCCCGCAAACCCCCCACCCCCCCCCCTCCCACCACCGCCTGTTAGCACGCTAATGACGTCAAGGTCAGAAACCATCTCTTTGCACAAGTCAATCAGTAATATTACCAAAGGAAGCCCAGGTTTAGCTTTTAACAGCGCCATCATGATTTGTTTGAATCGTTTTACAATTCAGCCATCAAAGTGTGTTCACCCATAAGCAACATTAACATTGGATGCTAATGACACACCGCTATTGTCCGAAGGACGAGTGCGTTGACGTCAATGTCACAAATCACAAACATCTATTTTGATTTGAGCCACGAGTGTGCTAACCTGCTAGTCATCTCAGCTTCGTACACAAATGACCCATTACGATCCACCAATTTTATAAGCCGCTTATCCTCACGAAGATTGCGGGCGTGCTGGAGCCTATCCCATCAATGTTAGCTTAGTAAGCTAATGACATCAAACTCTTTTTTTGGCACTCTTAATTGAAGTTAATTGTAAAACAAGCATAAAACATGATACAGCTGAACATCAAAACTTTTCAAACAAATCATCAGAGGTATTGTAGGCATGTCTGCTAGCTTATTGCTGAAGTATAATGCTAAACAAACAACAAAACTCGCAGGGATAGATTCGCTGAAAATATAATTTTGAATAATATCGTTTGTTTTGTTTCTTCCATTTAGGTGTATGTTGACATTCCGGGTGGTCTCAACTTGTCGCTGTCGTTGCCTTTGGTCATCGGGACCATCCCGCTACACACCGCCGCCTCCCGCACCTCTAGCATTAGCAGCCATGGCAGCGCCTCTGGCTGGCTGGGCGTGCCAGAGCACCCTGAGGGTAAGATGGCAATGTGTGTGTGTGTGTGTGTGTGTGTGTGTGTGTGTGTGTGTGTGTACATGTATATGTGTGTTTGAATGTCTTAATTATTTGATTGGTTTTAGCTCCGCCCAGCTACAGTGAATTGGCCATCCCGGAGTCACACCGCCGCCACTTCCTGCACGGCGTCCACGAGCACGAACAAGAACATGCTAGTGCGGCGTTGCTCACGTACATCACGGAATTCCGATATCTGCCGCCTCCATTCTACGCCGAGGTGAACACGAATACACTTCCTGCTTCCGTTCAAATGATTGACGGCATGCTCCAGTTTTTGTGCAGCGTGTTGTTCAGTGGACTAATTATATAATGTGTGCTTGTTTGGAAATTCAAGTGTGTTTTTGGTTGCAAGTGTGTAACTTACCGCCGCTCATCAGGTGGACCCATATCCTGAGCAGGTGGAGCCCGGCCGCCCTGACACGTGTCCGTCACGCTGAAGAGGTGAAAATCTGGAGTTCATCTGCTGTACCAACGTGACACTCTGCTCCTCCCCATATCCAGCCGAGCCAGGATCACATGACTGCTTGATTGATTGATGGACGTAGATTCCTGGGACGGGACAAGACGTTGCCACCCACTTGCCACCTTCCTTCTTCCTCCGAACTTTTTGGACACGTCTGTAAACACACCACCCGAGACCACCCAGACCCCACCCAACAAATATGTGCATGTCCTCGCTCACATGTGAAGTCACGTGTGGGAGAGTTTGGAAGTTGGCAGTGAAAAAAGACTGACGGGATGTCACCCGAAGCACTTAAACTTCAACGTGTGTGTGTGTGTGTGTGTGTGTGTGTGTGTGTGTGTGTGTTGGGAAACAAGAATGCGTGTGTGTGTGTGTGTGTGTGTGTGTGTGTGTGTGTGTGTGTGTGTGCAGAGCTGAAAGCACAAACGACCAACTTCAAAGAACCACAAGTCGCCTGTTTTGACGTTTGCTCAGAGCTAAATATTATTATTCATAATAATGAGAATACTTTTTTACGAGCGCGTTCCATGTCCAAAGAACGCCGAAATATGACGAAAAAAAATGTAAGAAATGTTTACAGGAAAATTTGGTCAAACGTCCTTGAAAGTTTGGGAGATGACTAAAGTGCAATATTTTTTCATATTTTTATATTTGTCCTTTTGAGCACAACTTTTCCATATCTGTTGCTCTTTCCATCTTTGTGCTTTATTATTGTTATGATTATAATATTATGATGATCTACTTGCTGTCATGATTAACTTTTGATAAAGAAAAATAAAAGTTTATTTTAAGAAAAAATGTCTTTCGCCTGTGTATTATGTTAATTAGCATTTTATAAATGTGGCCAACATTTTCTATTAGTGTTCCACTAGCGCGGCTAACATGTCCGATTAGCATTTCCCTCAACGTGGCTAACATTTAATATTAGCATTTCACTGGCATGACTACCATCTTTATTAGCATGACACAAAAGCACGCAAGATGTTCCCTTGACCTTGATGGCCCTCAAACATTCGCAGTTTCTAAATAAATACTTAAAAGTGTTGATAATATATGCTTCAAAAATCACAGAACTGTTTTTATAATCCTTAAATACATTTAGATAGGTCTAAAAACATTTAAATGTATTACTGAGAAGCGTTTTTATAGTCACGAGTATGACCTAAAACTATAATAAATTGTTGTGTGTCTGTATGTGGTTTGAAATGTCATAAAGATCCAGAAAAGTTGTTTTAAACTCTTAACTATGTATTTTTTTTTCTGATTAAATGGGATTTATTTGACAACTTCGTCAGGTGGGCGACTAGTTATGACGTCATGACGCCCGCATTACGGTGACGTTTTTCTCCGATACTCCGGTTTCCTTCATGCACTGTAGGTTAATCGAACGCTAAATCGTGTAAATTATTGTTTGTCTATGTGTGCCCTGCAAAGTTTATCAAGTCATTAGAATGTGATAAATTGATTAAAAATCATTTGTCCCTTAAATGTTTTGAAGTCACGAAAACGTTAATAGATGTCATTAAGTCATAACAGCTAATTAGGTCATAAAAATTTCATAAGTTCTTCAAAAGTAATCAAATGTTAAGACAATAAAAAGTCATAAAAGTTGTCATGAATGTCACCAAAGTTCTTTGTTTTGAAGTCATAGAAGTACTGTTTATTAACACATCAAACGTCACCTTAAGGTAAAACAAAGATCCTAAAAGTCGATCGAAACCCACAAAGTCTAAAAAGTTGCATCGTGACTGCTGAACTTTGTCTCTACCTGGTGGCGACTGATTGCAGCTGCCTGGACGACCTCGTTGGCACAAACGAAACAAAACAGCAAGATTTTGAGCAGAGCGGTAATATTTTATTGTTTCGTATATGTATGCATATATGTGTGTGTGTGTGTGTGTGTGTAGACACACTTTTACATTTGCGTTTTGTGCGTCTGTTGTGTGTGTGTGTGTGTGTGTGATCCCAGCAGGTTCTGATCCAAAACATCTTTTTTTTTTTTTCAACTTTTTTTTTTTGGGGGGGGGGGAGAAAGCTGGCGGGCTCTGCCCTTATCTTCTCTTGAACGTAAAGCGACATTGCGACCCGTAATGCGGTTGGGTTCTACCTCTTAACCGGTCGGGTCCTGGCGGCTTGAAAACAGGGTTGGGCCTCCAAATATACATTTTTGATCAGCAAAATATTCAAATTTCAACAACCCTCAGCTTCAACAAAACAAAAGAAGAAAACAAAAAGCTAAGCAGAAGCACGAGTCAGAATCTCTTGCAGTTACCATGAAGACGCACGCGTAAACTTGAATTATCAATTAGGACGACCTCACCCAATGGCGTTACTTGTGGCGTCACCATGGCAACGGCGTGGTCTCTGACTCCAGGACACAGAAAAAACATTTGAAGTCGTCACTGTCCCGCAGTCCTCCTATACTAAGCTAAAGGCTAATGCACGACAAGCTAATAGCTAAAAGCTCACACTCTGCATAAATAGGCCTCGCTCGCGCCGCTGCCCTCACGCACAGCCGGCTGCCCATTGGCTCCTGCATCCAGCCTGGCCCCGCCCCTTCACCTGTCACTTTTTTTCCCTTTTCCTGGCAACCTTCTTGCGAACCCGAATGTGCTTCCTCTTCCTGTCACTCTCTCACTTCCTGTCAGCTCATTGACCTTCGCTCTCTTCTCGTCTCAACGTTATTCCATCTTAATCGACGCTTAATTGACTTTTATGAATTAAGTGGTAGCGAACGTCCTAAATTGGACCTCGTTTTGGTTTTCATATTTGTTGGTTTTAAAAACAAACAAAAAAAAAATGTGACCCCTCCCACAAAATGGCCGCAAATCTGCACGAGGTGGAAACGTCAAACTGATCGGAAAGTCGAAATATAATTAGATCCAAAATAACTGTGATAAAAGTTATCAGATAAGAAAAATAAGTTCATTGTAAGTAGTAAAAGTATATATATATATATTTTTGTCTCTGGCAATGTGTCCTAAATTGTGGTTGGTTAAAGTCTTTCGAGTCCAAATTTGTTTGTAAAAAATGAGTTTTATAGAATTCGAATTACCGTGTAATAAATAAATTAATAACTTCTCGGGATTAGTTTTCAAATTTCCCCTTCATAAAGTCACATTTGATGGTTGGAGTTCCTCAGGGTTCTGTTGGAATTTTGCTTTGATTGGTGCATACACTACAAATAAGCATTAGCTCTACTCAGCTGGGACTTAACCAATCATTTTGGGGGACATTCTTTTCAGCGATTGTCGATTTTTATAAATGAGCTTTGACTCACAAGTGCTTGACTGCTTGTTGGCCGTTTGTGACCGGCACCCTCACAAACACAAAAGCATAACGGGAATTAGGAATATGCTCATGGACTGTGTTGAGAATTTTCTCATGACCTCATCATTATAATGGGATTTTTAGGCTGTGGACCGAGATATTTCCTAAAAAGTCCACGAGAAATGCAAATGTAGTGATTAGGGAGTCGAGAATGAGTGAAAGATTCCGTCATCAATCATTTGCTCACTGCAGACTCCTTAATCGCAACAGCGCATACAGATTTAGAAAAAACAGACCTAGATAGTGCCACTAAAAATCCCCAGTAATGACCAGTGATACATTCCCAACACAGCCAATGAGATGATTCTTCAATAAACACTCCAAGGTAACCTGTGTGACAAGCCCCACCCCCTCAGCATCATGTGGCCCAGCCCTCCGTCAGCCGCATGCGCTTGACGGATGGGCTCCGGCGCTCATCCTGATTGGACGGCGGCCGCAGGAGGAAGTCGCCGCAACCAGCGGCGTCATGATCCTCGCCGCCGTCATACGAGCTCCCGCAGCTGGAGGCGCTGCCGGCGGGCGAGCGGCCCGGACGTGCACCCACCATGCTGGCCCCGGGGCGTTCTCGAGGGGGCGAGGCTGGCTCTGACTTGATCTGGAGGTTTTGGTGGCCCGATGGGAAGTGCAGGTTGGTGTTCTGACACAAGTTCCTGCAAGACACAGACAACCATTTGTGGTGAGGAAATCTGACATTCTGAACGATTGCAATTGCTCTTTTTTGCAGTAAGTACAATGGTTGTAATTTAGTTTTACGAGTGTTTCCCCAAGGGACTTGATTTCATTTACTCTCTCTATACATATCTTTTTTTTAATATAATTCCATTTACTTTTAATTTTGTCTTCATTGCTAACTTGTTTTCATCAAACCATGTTTTTACCTTCTGGGGTAGTGATAAAATTTGCACCATTTTCTCACCAGAAACTAGTATCTTTGTGTCACAAACTTAATAGTTGTGACACATTACACAGCTCATTTATAGGATAAATGATTTTGGCCCTAACAATGACCCCTGGGGGACACCATACACAATGTCTAAGCAATCAGAGTTCAACTTACTCAGCTTCATAAACTGCTGTCTTTTTTTTTTTTTTTTAAGAACTTCTCAGCCAATTAGAGATTTTGCATTTTGTTCCGGAAACAAATTGCAGTATGAACAGAATAAAGTGTCTTTTTATTTTTGCTCACCCCATGTGAGCGAGTGGCACACTGTGCAGGTTGTGTAAGTCGTGGACGTGCTGCTGCTGGTGCTGCTGCTGGTGCTGCTGCTGTTGCATTGTACTGACGGAGCCCAGCCCGGCTGACCCGAAAGCCATCAGGGAGGCCACCTCACCACCCAGCGAGAACTCTGAGGAGTACACAAAGGTTCCGCTTCAGCTTTGGCTCGCGTTGGTGCCATCTTGTCCAGGATGAGCAGACTCACCTGTGCCGAAGGAGCCCAGAGAGGATGGGTAGCCTCCCATAGCGGAGCTGGGAAGAGATGCGGCGGCGGACACACATGCAGAGGGACTGGACAGTGTCTGTGCCGTCTGGGAGTGATTGATCCGAGCGTTCTGGAGAAGCACAAAAAAACCCCGACATTCATCCTGATTGCTTGGACACAGTGTTAGAAAAATGAAGCCGGCGTGTCCTGTGGCTGTTAAAAGCAGAAGCAAGGAAGAGTGGACATTCAGTCATCTTCAGCAAAAACTAGGGTGAACTTGAACTGAATTTGGAAGCTTTGTTGCCCAAATGTGGGCGGAGCTTGGCATCAAAGTCTGATGGTGATTTCAAGAATATTTTGGAGAGTTAAAAAAATTAATCATAAACCTCTGTCCATTGATCACAATTTCCAGATACTTGATTTGAATGCAGTGTTGAAGTTGTGAGGATGTCACCGAGAACTAGCTACCACACAAAGAACAACACAACGTCAACGTGTGAGACTTACCAACATCAGGTCAAAGTCCTCACACTAGAGGGCAGCAGCAAGTCAGGTGCAGACTGGCATTAGTCGGTTAAAGACACCTTTTACTCCAATGGATGCATTTGTGTCAAAACACTCACGATGGTCGGCATGTTGCTGCACTTGTTGGCGGGCGGCATCAGGGGTCGTAGGTCGGGCTTGCGGCTCATGCTCATTGGCGGACTTTTGCTCTTAGACGCACCCCCCGGTGACATCATGGCAGGAGATGGGCACTGATTGCTGTAGACGCCGTTTCCTGCTGGCGGGGAAAAAAAATTGCATTGTTTGTTGTTCCACTGTGATCATGATGATGATGATGATAATGACGACTTACCCACACTGACAACAGTGTTTGTCAGCTCGGAGCCCAACAGGCCTGAAAAGATAATTTTTAACTTTCAATTTCACTTTGGTGTGTCCTCATAAAATGTCACGTTGCTGAATGAAACAATTGGTGAAGTTGTGAGGGTTTTTTTTTTGTGGCTCTACTTATGACAGTCATGTCAATCAAATTTCATGTCGCTAAATCGAATAGGCTTTGGGGGTGGTCCTGGATTTTGGTAATGATTTCACATGCGGTCACAGACCTGCATCTTCGCCACTGGGGGGCCGCTGGGGGGACATGGCATTCCTCTGCATTGAAGCGTGGTGGATGGGCAGCAGGTTGTGGTTGGCTGCGGCGCCCCCTATGCCGGGGTGCGGGTACAGCAGCGGGGAGGCATTCAGGCCGATGTCGTAGCTGGATGCGGGCAGGCCCTGCAGGTCGAGGTGGGCGAGGTAACATTTTTTTTTAAGTTGCATTTTAGTGGAGTTTTTTTTCAAGCAAGTCATTTTTTGGAAAAATGTGATTTTTGTGATGGCTTGTCGTCATGGCGATGGCAACTCACGCAGATCCGCTGCCTGTTGAGCATCAGGTCGATGTCGTCGCCGATTTTGGGGTACTTGTCATCCGTCTCGGGGCTCTGACCGGCAGAGTCGTCCGCCTCCATGTCGGGACTCTCACTGCCACTTAGGCCTTTCTTCCGCAACGTCTGGAAATACATTCATGTGCACTAAATTGGAGGATCATTCAGCAACACCTTCAACAAGCTCATTGACAATACACAACTTTTTGCAAGAAAATATCCAACTTTTTTCATGAACCACAGAAAAAAAAAAATTCTTGGAAATATTTTTGGGGTAGAATTTTTTTTTCATGAAACTGTATTTTTTGCCCCTTCCAATATACAACTCTTTTGGAAATATCGTGTTTTTTTTTTAAACTTTCTATCCAATATATATATATATATATATTGTGTATATATGTTTATATATATATATATATATATACACACAAAATGAACTTTTTTTGCTGCTACTTTGGGGATAATTGATTGATGCATTTCAAAAGAAATTGCCAAACAACAACTCTTACAGTCAAAGTCCATAGATGTGATTATGAGCGTGAAATATTTGTGACTCCAGCACGCCTGCGACCCTCGTGAGGATAAGTGGCTCGAATACTGGATGGATGGATGAAGTTTCATAAGGCTGAATGTAACATAAAAAAATATGGCTCCAATGACTAGACTGCCCACTAGAGGGCGCAATCGTTACACAGAATGAACTCTTCAAACGAACTTTTTTTTTCCCCCCTCGGCTACTTTTCATTTGGGAGCTTTAGGAACATTTTTGTCTGAACGAAATCACATGAAGTCATTGAATTTTCCATGTATGTCATCAAGCGGTCACTGATCATAGAAACACAAATACACAACACAGACGAATATAAAAGCATACAAATACGCACGCACGCACGCACGCGCGCGCGCACACACACACACACACACACACACACACACAAACACCC